GTTTTAAGTCTTTAATAATAAATTTAAGAAGTTTTTAATAAGCTTATTAAATATTCAATAAATTTATATTTTTTAATTGAATTATGTTTAATTTTTATATAGGTGATATGGTTTCTAATTGACTAATATCAGTATTATTTTATTTTATCACCTTGGTGTAAGTTGTCACTAAAAGTTATCTTATCGTTTTAAAATTTATAAATTTATAATTTCATAATTTTAAATGTATAAATTGTAAAATTATGAAATAATAAAATGATATAGTTATAAAATTGGAAAATTATAAATTCTAAAATTTAAAAATAAGAAAATAAGTTAAAAAATGATATTTTAACACATAATTTTTTTACATTCATTTAACACTACACTTCCTTATTTTTTACTTTATTCTCGAAAAACTATAAAAATTCATTCTTGAGGTTACTCCCTACACCACCCAACATTACTTCCTGCACCACCACATTTTTTAAAAATTTAAAAACTATCTTTTATATTTTAAAATATCATACATCCCAAATTTTTTCTTCAACGGATGTTGATATCGGCTCAAGAAAAAATACTTCAACGGATATCTCACATCGATGTGGCTGCATTCGTTCAAGTTATTTTTTAGTTTTTCATTTATTAATTTAATATTTTTTATATAATTATTTAAACGGATGTGTCATATCCGCTAAGGTTTTTTCTTTAGTTTTTAATTTATTAGTTTATTATATTTTAAATTAATATGTAAATATTATTTAATTTTCTTTTAAATTTATTAGATAATTATATATAGATTCATTTTATTTTATTTAATAAAATAATTATTATTAATTTAATTTTTATATTTTTATTTAATTAATTATTATAAGTTTTTTCAAAATATTAATTAAACGGATGTGCTAAGTTTTTTTTTTAGTTTATTAATTTATTATATTTTAAATTAATGTATAAATATTATTTTAATTTTAAAAAAATTTATTACATAGTTATATATAAATTTATTTTATTTTATTTAATAACATAATTATTATTAATTTAATTTATTTATTATTATTTAATTAATTATTATAATATTTTTTATATTATTAGTTAAACGGATATAAATGTGACTACATTTGTTATGACTTTTTTTTGGTTTATTAATTTATTATGTTTTAAATTAATATATAAATATTATTTATTTTTTTTAAATTTATTATTATGACACTCGGGCACTAACAGGGAGTGATCGCGGTGCAAGTGCAAGGGGCACAAACAAAGAGCGGCTCCTGACAGGCACCGGAATGAGAGGAATCTAGAGACTGTATAGGTATGAGACTATAGAGTTGAAAGATAGCTTAAAGTGATTGATTTGGTTACTCATATTACCAAAATGCATTTTGTTTTTCGGTAACCTAATGGTTGAGAAGTTTTCCAGGAAAGTGTTATTATTTATAATTTTATTTTATTTAATAAAATAATAATTATTAATTTAATTTATGTATTATTATTTAATTAAATATTATAATATTTTTTATATAATTAGTTAAACGGATGTGCCACATCCGTTAAGTTTTTTTATTAGTTTTTAATTTTTAGTTTATGGATGTGGTTACATTTGTTGACGGATATTAACATCCATTAAAGGTGAAACGGATGTGAACATTCATTTTATTGAAATGACAAATTAGTTATGGGGTGGTAGAGGGAGCAAAACTCTTCACTCTTTTAAGAATATTTTATCCTTGTTAGGTTTGTCAAATAAATGTCAATGTGTGTCATCTTACTCTTACCCAATAAATTTTTGTAACAGCTCAGCAAGTACCAATTAAATAACATAAATTGGATTGAAAAATAAAAATTATTGATTAGGAAATAAGCCATACAATTTTATTAGGAATTTAATTAAAAGTTTACAAATTTATGTTAAAACTTATTTAATATATACATATGTAACATTTATTTTCAAACACCATTGCATCATTTAACCCATTAAGTTACCCCTACCAATCATTTTACAAAATGATGGTGTAGTCTAGTAACGGTTTAACTTCCCACAGTCATAACCTGCCTTCTTAAGATATTGACCAGCCATGAACGTAGGCAAGATGTTTTCCCTTAAAAAGGTAACCAACTTGGACTCAGCCTGCTGAATTGAACCCAACATGTAAGCTGTAGTAGTAACATCAACTGCTCTCCATCTTCTCTCCTTTGCATATTTCTTCAATCTTTCCTCAATCTTCTTAAAATGCACCTCTTCTTCCTCTTTCTCTTTCGAAAATGCCTCAGCTAAGCATCTTGCCAAAACAATCCCATCCTCCAAAGCACAACACGCTCCCTGCCCAAGATCAGGAGTCATCGGGTGCAGAGCATCTCCACCAACACAAACATTGCCCTTACTAATATTCCCCATCATCAGATCCCAGGCTTGTCTATATCGTAATGGATATGATAGAAAACCATCTGCATCTGTTATTTCTATGCAGGCTCTAACAGCACTCGGCATGTTCTCAAGATTTTTTAACACAAATGGTTTCAATTTAGCACGATCCTCTTTCAGCTCCTTTAGCTCTGCAGGGCCAACAAATTAATCAATCGTATCACATCTTTTACAATATAAGTTTCAAGTTAAGAACTTGCATTTAAGAAAAATCACCTTGGCTGGAGGGTATACAAGTGAAAAACCAGTGGACCTGTTTTTCATTACAAGGAACAACACCAACTCGAACACCATTGCCAAAAAACTGCATGAACCTCAGCTCCAATCCATGGTTGGTCTCGAACTGTGCAAAACCCCTGATTGCAAATCTCCCAGTAAAAGACGGCTCCTTGAAGCCTAGCCATTTTGCCACCAGGGAGTTCACTCCATCACACCCAATCAACACCTGTTACCATCAAAACATCCTCGTATCAGTTGGAGTTTACCAACTTCGATTCATAACAGTTGTTTCTCTTTACACATCACACTTACTATTTACCTTGGTTTTGATGGTTGTCCCGTCAGCAAGATGGAGTATCTTATAGAAACCAGATTCCTCAAAACCAACAACTTTTGAGGAATATCTGATGGTTTCTTTTGGAAGCTCATTCACAAGGACTTCCAACACTTTTGTTCTTTGAACACAACGAATTTCAATACCTCTACAACATCACAAGAACACCAGTTATAGAAAGAATTTGGATCAAATTTAAACATTTAGCCACACTGATTCACACGGTATACATACTCTTGGTTTTCTGTTGATTTGAAAGACTTGGCTACTATTTGTTTCCCAGTAACCATTGAAGTGGTGACAATCCTGTAGTCCAATTCTTGCATTAGAGAAAATGAATGATACTAAGAAGAAAATTTAAAAGATGTTTGTGCATACCCATGAAGTCGTTGATGGTTGCGGCGGAGTTTGTCTCCAACACCGACAGCATCCAAAGCCTTCCAAGCATTTTGCCACAAGGACAAAGAAAAGCCAGTGACCCTCAAAGTATCCGAAGATTCCAACACCAAACTTCGAATACCCAATCTGTGAGTATGAATGAAGAGTTGTGATACATAAACACAGTACATGTGTATATACACTATTGCGCGGCCTTTTATGGCACTAATATGCTCACACAAAATAATACAATTTGAAGTTCAAGTCCTGGTTTTGTTACCATTTAACTAATTTCTTGTGTAATCCAAATATTTATATTCCTTAAAAATGTTGTTTCCTATATTATGAATCACTAAAAATATATAAATAAATAGGGAATTTAAAGCTTAATAAAAATATTGATTTTGAAGTATAAGTGACTGTCAAAGTTTATACGATCATTTAACTTATTTTGCAATGTATTTAACAACATTTTTAATTAATATAACCAATTTAACTTAAATGTTTTTATTCATTAACAAGGTATTGTTTTCCAAATGAATCACTCAAAACTATTCCAAAATTAGGAAATTAAAAACTTAAGAAATATTGATTTTGGAGTTCAAGTGTTTGTCTGATTTTACATTACCATCTAACCAATTTCATAGTATATTTAACCATTTTTTTTAACTAATTTCATCAACTATTGTGTAATTTAAATATCCACGTTCCTTAAAAATATTGTGTTTCTTAGACTATGAATCACTAAAAATATATAAACAAGTAGATAATTTAAAGCTTAATAAACATTGATTTTGAAATATAAGTTTTTGTTAGAGTTTATATAAAACCATTTAACCAATTTTATAATATACTTAACAATTTTTCTGACTTAATTTAACTAACTATATTTCAATTCAAATACTTACATTTCTTAATAAATCCTTGTTTTTCAAATATGACTCTATCAAAATTATTCAGACAAATAAGGAATTCAAAGGTTAGTAAGCATTGACTTTGAAACCCAAAAGCTTATTCAAGGATACATGACAATTAACCAACTTCATAATTTATCTAACAACGTTTTTAACTAATTTAACCAACTATTTTTCAATCTAAATGTCTTCATTCCTTGACAAAGTCTTCTTTCCAAATATTAATCACTCAAAATTATTCTAAAAACAAAGAGAATTAAAAACTTAACAAACATTGGTTCTGAAATTATTTTTTATATTTTAAAATAAAAATTGTATATGATCTCAAAAGCAAAGTATAAACAACTACCATAATTCATTATTCTTAACGATCTCAAATTACGACGAACAAAACAAATAGGTTATGAATATCATATTACTCATATTCGTGAGTATTTATTAATTATTTGTAAAAGTTAAAATTAAAGTTTAACTTATATTTTTTGAGTTAAATTTAATTAAAATTAATATTTATTTATATTCTATTAAGTTACATTTAATTAAAGTTAAACATTAATTTATATTATATTATATTTTTTTATAATGTTTTATATTTTACTTTAAAAATTATAAATATTTTTAAAAAAATATTCAAAAATATTTAGAAATACTTATAAATTTTTTATAATCCATAAATATAAAAATATAAATTTGACAAATGAAACATAATTTTTTGTTTGTTACATATCAAATAAGGGATAAGTGAAGTTCTATAAAATACAACTCATTATCACTTTTAGCATTAAGATAATTACTTTTTTACCACTATGAAAAATATTACATGAATGCTACAGAAAATATTACACTCTAAATTACATGAATATCACCTCTTTTAGGCTTTGTTCACTTGAATAGATTTAGAGGAAAGTGATTGATAGGATTTGAAGATAAATTTTTTTTGTTGTTTATTTGAGTAAATTTGGAGGTGAGAGTGAATTTGTAACTAAATTTTTTTAATCTGTCACATCAATCAAATTTTACACTAATTTTGATAAACTTTAATTCCAAATTCACTTTCACTTACCTCCAAATCCACTCAAACAACAACATAATTTACTTTCAAATCTTCTCAAATCATTCAATCACTATTTCTCAAATCCATTCAAATGAACAAAACCTTAAAAATGCGTCCTATTGGTGTTAACTGATGCACGCTGAGTGTGGTTGACTTTGAACATTTTTTATAAATAAAACATAAGAGTTTGGTAAAAGAATATTCTGTTGACATGTATAACTTAATATTCATTATTATTAAAAAAATCAACTTTTGTATATATAAAAATATTGAAAAGTAAAGTAACAGATGTAAAATATATATAAAAATATATTGATCTGAAAATAATACTGGGCGAGTTTGTTAGTAAAGAAAGAATACCTATGAAGACCTAATGAAGTTGTGACGCCTGCAATTCCAGCGCCCACAATCACAATATCTTCAACTAATTCTCTTTCCATTATCCTCTTGTACAGAAGAAGTATATGGAAGACGAACACCTCTCTTGCATCCTTATATAGAATGAGAAAACGGAAGATGAACCATCTCTTTCACTGGACCGTGCAGCCTTGTGACCAATTAAAAATATCCACCTGGAAAGTGAGTTATTTAATGACGATGACATNGCCCTTACTAATATTCCCCATCATCAGATCCCATGTTTGTCTATATCTCAGTGCATACGATAGAAAACCATCTGCATCTGTTATTTCTATGCAGGCTCTAACAGCACTCGGCATGTTCTCAAGATTTTTTAACACAAATGGTTTCAATTTAGCACGATCCTCTTTCAGCTCCTTTAGCTCTGCAGGGCCAACAAATTAATCAATCGTATCACATCTTTTACAATATAAGTTTCAAGTTAAGAACTTGCATTTAAGAAAAATCACCTTGGCTGGAGGGTATACAAGTGAAAAACCAGTGGACCTGTTTTTCATTACAAGGAACAACACCAACTCGAACACCATTGCCAAAAAACTGCATGAACCTCAGCTCCAATCCATGGTTGGTCTCGAACTGTGCAAAACCCCTGATTGCAAATCTCCCAGTAAAAGACGGCTCCTTGAAGCCTAGCCATTTTGCCACCAGGGAGTTCACTCCATCACACCCAATCAACACCTGTTACCATCAAAACATCCTCGTATCAGTTGGAGTTTACCAACTTCGATTCATAACAGTTGTTTCTCTTTACACATCACACTTACTATTTACCTTGGTTTTGATGGTTGTCCCGTCAGCAAGATGGAGTATCTTATAGAAACCAGATTCCTCAAAACCAACAACTTTTGAGGAATATCTGATGGTTTCTTTTGGAAGCTCATTCACAAGGACTTCCAACACTTTTGTTCTTTGAACACAACGAATTTCAATACCTCTACAACATCACAAGAACACCGATCATAGAAAGAATTTGGATAATTTAAACATTTAGCCACACTGATTCACATGGTATACATACTCTTGGCTTTCTGTGGATTTGAAAGACTTGGCTACTATTTGTTTCCCAGTAACCAGTGAAGTGGTGACAATCCTGTAGTCCAATTCTTGCATTAGAGAAAATGAATGATACTAAGAAGAAAATTTAAAAGATGTTTGTGCATACCCATGAAGTCGTTGATGGTTGCGGCGGAGTTTGTCTCCAACACCGACAGCATCCAAAGCCTTCCAAGCATTTTGCCACAAGGACAAAGAAAAGCCAGTGACCCTCAAAGTATCCGAAGATTCCAACACCAAACTTCGAATACCCAATCTGTGAGTATGAATGAAGAGTTGTGATACATAAACACAGTACATGTGTATATACACTATTGCGCGGCCTTTTATGGCACTAATATGCTCACACAAAATAATACAATTTGAAGTTCAAGTCCTGGTTTTGTTACCATTTAACTAATTTCTTGTGTAATCCAAATATTTATATTCCTTAAAAATGTTGTTTCCTATATTATGAATCACTAAAAATATATAAATAAATAGGGAATTTAAAGCTTAATAAAAATATTGATTTTGAAGTATAAGTGACTGTCAAAGTTTATACGATCATTTAACTTATTTTGCAATGTATTTAACAACATTTTTAATTAATATAACCAATTTAACTTAAATGTTTTTATTCATTAACAAGGTATTGTTTTCCAAATGAATCACTCAAAACTATTCCAAAATTAGGAAATTAAAAACTTAAGAAATATTGATTTTGGAGTTCAAGTGTTTGTCTGATTTTACATTACCATCTAACCAATTTCATAGTATATTTAACCATTTTTTTTAACTAATTTCATCAACTATTGTGTAATTTAAATATCCACGTTCCTTAAAAATATTGTGTTTCTTAGACTATGAATCACTAAAAATATATAAACAAGTAGATAATTTAAAGCTTAATAAACATTGATTTTGAAATATAAGTTTTTGTTAGAGTTTATATAAAACCATTTAACCAATTTTATAATATACTTAACAATTTTTCTGACTTAATTTAACTAACTATATTTCAATTCAAATACTTACATTTCTTAATAAATCCTTGTTTTTCAAATATGACTCTATCAAAATTATTCAGACAAATAAGGAATTCAAAGGTTAGTAAGCATTGACTTTGAAACCCAAAAGCTTATTCAAGGATACATGACAATTAACCAACTTCATAATTTATCTAACAACGTTTTTAACTAATGTAACCAACTATTTTTCAATCTAAATGTCTTCATTCCTTGACAAAGTCTTCTTTCCAAATATTAATCACTCAAAATTATTCTAAAAACAAAGAGAATTAAAAACTTAACAAACATTGGTTCTGAAATTATTTTTTATATTTTAAAATAAAAATTGTATATGATCTCAAAAGCAAAGTATAAACAACTACCATAATTCATAATTCTTAACGATCTCAAATTACGACGAACAAAACAAATAGGGTATGAATATCATATTACTCATATTCGTGAGTATTGATTAATTATTTGTAAAAGTTAAAATTAAAGTTTAACTTATATTTTTTGAGTTAAATTTAATTAAAATTAATATTTATTTATATTTTATTAAGTCACATTTAATTAAAGTTAAACATTAATTTATATTATATTATATTTTTTTATAATGTTTTATATTTTACTTTAAAAATTATAAATATTTTTAAAAAAATATTCAAAAATATTTAGAAATACTTATAAATTTTTTACAATCCATAAATATAAAAATATAAATTTGACAAATGAAACATAATTTTTTGTTTGTTACATATCAAATAAGGGATAAGTGAAGTTCTATAAAATACAACTCATTATCACCTTTAGCATTAAGATAATTACTTTTTTACCACTATGAAAAATATTACATGAATGCTACAGAAAATATTACACTCTAAATTACATGAATATCACCTCTTTTAGGCTTTGTTCACTTGAATAGATTTAGAGGAAAGTGATTGAAAGGATTTGAAGATAAATTTTTTTTGTTGTTTATTTGAGTAAATTTGGAGGTGAGAGTGAATTTGTAACTAAATTTTTTTAATCTGTCACATCAATCAAATTTTACACTAATTTTGATAAACTTTAATTCCAAATTCACTTTCACTTACCTCCAAATCCACTCAAACAACAACAAAATTTACTTTCAAATCTTCTCAAATCATTCAATCACTATTTCTCAAATCCATTCAAATGAACAAAACCTTAAAAATGCGTCCTATTGGTGTTAACTGATGCACGCTGAGTGTGGTTGACTTTGAACATTTTTTATAAATAAAACATAAGAGTTTGGTAAAAGAATATTCTGTTGACATGTATAACTTAATATTCATTATTATTAAAAAAATCAACTTTTGTATATATAAAAATATTGAAAAGTAAAGTAACAGATGTAAAATATATATAAAAATATATTGATCTGAAAATAATACTGGGCGAGTTTGTTAGTAAAGAAAGAATACCTATGAAGACCTAATGAAGTTGTGACGCCTGCAATTCCAGCGCCCACAATCACAATATCTTCAACTAATTCTCTTTCCATTATCCTCTTGTACAGAAGAAGTATATGGAAGACGAACACCTCTCTTGCATCCTTATATAGAATGAGAAAACGGAAGATGAACCATCTCTTTCACTGGACCGTGCAGCCTTGTGACCAATTAAAAATATCCACCTGGAAAGTGAGTTATTTAATGACGATGACATATACTTTTACAACAATACCCTTTCGATTTCAAATTAAAAATGCATTTCCTTTCCATTATTACAGGATAAGGGTATGCAAAAAGAAGACTCGCAGATCTTCATTCATTGGTTCTTCACATTGCTTATCAAACATTTCGTCGGTGGCCACACTCACTCTGCTTTAAAATCCAAAAAATAACCTTTCAGACCAAATTTATCTCTCAATACCATAATAACTTTAAGGAAAATGACACTTGAACAACTATTTTTGACAACATTTAGACACGCGCACACGTGTCAAAATCTGAGTGGTTCAGTTGGAAAAATTAAATGAAAATGGACCACTCAGATTTTGACACGTGTGCACGTGTCTAAATGTTGTCAAAAATGATTGTTCAAGTGTCATTTTCCTAACTTTAAATCTATTTCAATTTAATGCACACTCTTTTATGTCCACATATAAATTATATATTAATAAATTGTTCAATAACAAATAAAACAATATATTTAATAAATAAGAAATATATCAATATTAATATGTAAAAATTAAGAAAATTAGTATTTAAAAATTTATGAGATTTAATAAAAATAATATATAAATATTTTAAATAAAAACTAAATTATCAAACCATTATGATGGATAATTAAAGGTATGTGGTGAGATAGATGATCTTTGCATTTTTAGATAAGATACTTTGTTTTTGTTGTTTTGTGTTGTTGTTATCAAATTTTATTTTCTAATTCCGTTAGATTAGAATAAAAAACTTATACTTGTAACACAAAGTTTTTTACTTTAATGGCTGAGTTTCGGTTAGAAGTATTTAGTTTGAGATATGTAGTTCTTAAAGAAAAAAATTTGTAAATTTTAAGGCCTTGTTCACTTGAATGGATTTGAGGGAGAGTGATTGAGGAGATTTAAGAGGATTTGAAAGTAAATCTTTTGTATTTATTTGAATGGATTTGGAGATAAGTGAGAGTGAATTTGAAAGTAAAGTTTGTGAAAATTAGTATAGGATTTGATTGACGTGACAGATTAAACAAATTTACTTCCAAATCGACTCTCATTTACCTCTAAATTCACTCAAATAAACAACAATAAAATTTACTTTCAAATCTTTCACATCCCTTCAATCACTCTCCCTCAAATCCATTCAAGTGAACAAGACGATTAACTTTTGTTATCAATGTTGTGGTAGAATAAATTAGGCATGTGATATTGTGAATTGTTGTACCTTTTAATTGAGATGAAATTTCATGACTGTTTTAGCTACACTAATATCACACACATGTAAAGTATAAATTATAGTGATAAAAGTCGATAAGAGGTTTTTATATTGTGTATATATAATTTTATCCTGTTATAGTTTATTGTGATTGTGATTTCAAAAGAGAAACGTGACTGAAACTTTGAGTAATTACTATGTGCCTTGGGAAAGTGTGTTGTTTTTTTTATGGTTTCAATATCTTTTTATTTTTTAAATTTGTAAACACTGGATTCTTCACATGAATAATTATTTATATTTTTTTAGATTAGATATAAAACACTGAATTATTGTGTAAAATCATATTGTTTGGTTTTCCAATTCAAATTAGTTTTTTATTTCATATTTAATACTTAACGTGGACGGTCTTATATTTGTGAGTTTTTAAGTGTTGGAAAAATATTTTTCGAATCTATTGTTGAAATTAAATGTCTGTTTGTATTTTCGAATAAATTTTGATTCATCAGTAATTTTAAACTTTTAAAATCAATGCATGTTATTGTAGAGGAAACTCGTTTGAAAATCTAGTATTTGAAATATCAGTTTATCATTATGAGCTATATATTCATATTTACTAATATTTTATCTGGCAAAGTCATTAGATTAGATGCCTTCCACGTAAGGAAGATCAAATTAATAAATAAGATGGATTCAAAATAATGATATAGATATCAGGCTTGGTTTCTTAACTATAATTCTCAAGATTGGAAGGTTAAAAGCAATCCGATTCCCTATTATTATAATTAACATCAGCCTCACGTTTGTCCAGATTCAACTTAAGCCACTCTCATCCATCATAAAAAAGAAGATAAAACTAACGTGACAAAAAAGTAAACAATTAAAAGATATCTCTTGCTAGAATCATGAAAAAACAAATTATATAATAATACATATACGTTGCACGTTAAAAGAGCATAATTAAAATAATTAAACACGTTTTGTTCTTCCCCAGTTTCTTCTATTAATTTATAGATAATTGGCCATAAAACTAATCATTTGAAGTTTATGGTATGTCAGGAATTCTGTCATAAATGTGCTATATTTTTGATGATTTTAACATGATGTTATAATGTTTTTAGGGGTTTGGGATAGAAGTTTGTGCCTTATATTTTTCTAGATAATATAATAACTAGAGATTGCAGGGATTAAAAGTTGTCTATTGACCTTCATATTTTTGCTATATATTAAACACTTGTACCTGACATTCACTGCAGAGTTGCAGAAGCACATGGAAGAACTGACCAAAGATGTGGAAAGATCCATTCATATTTTTTATTATCATCCATTCATATTCTTTGTCTTATTGTATTTTTTTTTATTACTTTGTGTACGTTTTCAAAGATTTTACTTTTTATAAGTTTTGTTAAAATTGATTTTCGAATTTTTTTTTCAACGTTTAAAATGATTTAATTTGATTTTTTTAGTGACAACGTCTAGATCATTAACCAATTAATGTCCAGATTAATTATTAGTGAATGAAATGTAAGTTTATGATGTACATGACAACTTAAACGAAGGCAAGCTAGAATTTTTTTAAGTGTTTAAGTTAATTCTTATGTATTTTTTTATTATGAAAATGTCTGTGGTCTATTTGGAGACGAAAAATTATATAAGAATAAGCCGTGTATTGTTTGTGTTAGATTATTGATTTTATTTGTGTTTACTTTAAACTATTTAAGAAAAAAAATTGTAGGATTGATGATTTATTTCATTTTTGCTATCCAGTAAGATTTGAGAGAATTTAATAATATTTATTTAAAAAATTAATTTTGTTCTTGGAAATTATATATTTTTCTTGTATTTTTTTTCTGAAAAATGCATACAAATAGATAAAAAAATTCAATTCTAACTAAACTGAAATATTCATTTATTAATTTTATTAATAATAGTAATTATAATAAATATTAAATAATAATAATAATAAAGTTACGGTAGCGCTCTACTTCTCTATTTTCTTTTGCCATGATAAAATTATTTTTCATAGAAATTTTTTATTCAGATTATTAGTACAATTTAATTTTTTAATTATTTATTAAATATACTGTATTAAACTTAGTTATTTTTTAAAATATATTGTATTAATTATTTATTAATTTTTCTTAATACAACTATTTCAAATAATTTGTGTCAAAATATATATTACTCTCAAATATTATTTTAACATTTTAGTAATTTTTATATTAATTTTATTATCGACAATTATCATTTTATATTACTTTTATAATTAGGAATGTTTTATAATATTCAATTTCTATCTATTAAACAATTTTTTTTATTGGTCAAATTCTATCATAATTTTTACAAACTTTACTTTCAAATTCACTTAAAAAACAATTCTCAATTCATCTTCAAATTTCTTCAAATTTATTTATTCACTCTCTCCCAAATCAATCTTTTAAAGTAAACACAATATTCTATTATGAAAATGCCATATTGAAAGAAAAATACTTTTTCAACATTTTTTTACAATATTTGTGGTGGTTCGTGATTAATTCATTTCAAAAAAAAATTTAAAATAAATTCAAATAGATCAATAAAATTTTAACACGTTCTTATTTTTAAAAATTGTCATAAAAAGTGATTACATGAAAAAAAATCCCACAAGAAACAATTTGTGAAGAAAAGGTGATTTTTTTTTCCGCAATGAAAGGAACTCGACCACTGTGTTGTGAGAGGGGTTTACAAAATAAATAACTTATATGAATTAAATAAATAATAATAAAGATTAAAAACATTCGCATCAAGGTTTTACAAACTGATAATATAACATGCTCGAAATAAAAGTTTGACAGGATGAATTTGTATATTTATTTATTATTAACTAAAAGAAAGGATAAATAAACATCCCACTCCTAAAATGTTCTCTATGGTTTGTGGAGAAATGTACCATCATAGACAAACCACGTGGTTCCGTATTATTTTGGTGCTGTGTCTGTGTCTGTACGTCCAGCTTAATTATTGTTTTAGCAGCTCAGACCATCTCTTTTTGTCTGGTTTCGATTTTGCTTCGACATTTTATTTAGAAATTGAATGCTTACAATTAGCAACTCACACGTACTCACATGTACCAGGATACGTTGTATAGGTTGAATATACACGTATCTCTACGTTAATAAGATATTGTTTGTTTTAGATTAAATTTTCAAGTGATTTATTTTACTGTGACATGTTACTTAAGATATTGAGGGTGTTCTACCAGACAGAGAAATAGTACTAATTGAAGCAAAAATGTCTAGCCCTAGTAATCAAGAGATAGAAGAGAAGGGAGTTACACAGGTATATGCTACTCCTTTTTTCCAATTCTTTCTTCTTGTGAAAACTACTATTTTTGAACAATTTTTCTTTAAATCGTATGAATCAATATTTAACTTTTTGCTCAGAGTTATGAAAATCTAGAAAATTCTGTTCTTGTTACGTGGACCTCAAATAGACCAATCATTGTGACCACATAGTTTGGCATGAAAATTGTATCATATGATTGTTTAGATTAATCTTAAATTGGATTGGACGATATAATCAAGATTATCATGTCGATCACCTGAGAACTTCAGAGGCCGAATAATGGAATAGTCATTTTTAAACAATGATTAGATTTAATGAATATTAAGTTATGATAAAATATATTTAATAGCAATTA